CCCCCCCCCTCCCCGGCTACTGGCTAGGAGGAAACAGTTCCAAGAAATTGGAACAGATTTGGACTCCACTTGAAATCGACTCAAGCATTATCGTGTATGTGACAAGTCTGCAACCTCTTAGGATGCAGAGACCGGCAATATCCTCTGTCATTAGTGTCATTTAATAGTTGTGTGTTGAATATTATTGTAAGACAAATAGCTTGCGTAGATCTGGTAGTTTGCATTGGACTCAATGGGCTTTTGAACTTTATATTAGCTTTCGTCGTGTCAGTTGCTTAGTGCTACTAAAATATAATCATGTCGTAATAATCGACTGTAACATAACATGTGAATATAAAGCAAGACAGTTACATCAACAAAAATATTGATTTGTAGGAGACAAATTCAAACTTTTCAAAGGAGCTTGAGTGTTATAGGTGTAAAGATTTAGAGGTAATGGAAGTAGACGTCCCAGGTCACAAATGGGGGAGTCGCCGCAATTGAAATTTAGTATTTAAAAGAAAATGCTTCTTAGATAACGCTGAAATCGATCTAAAAAGCATCTCAATCTTAGTTTTGGTAGGTGTGGTATTTTTAATAATTTACACTCACGAATAATACTTTTTCATGCTTGTTGTTATAAAAACAACTCATTCTCGTTGTCTTGCAGACATGCTATTCTGGCGCTCATATGACCTTATGCAGTTGCAAGCGCTGTAAAACCTCTAATAAAACCAGAAAGACATGCTAGTTATTATTATTTACTCTCGCGAATAATAAGTTTTGACTCTTTTTGTTCACACGCAGCCCCAGGAGAAGTAGAAAGCTTCAGAATTACAGAGCAACATCATTATTCTGTGATGTTATCGTGGAATTGTCCGGACATTCCTAATCGGCATGGGAAGATACACGGTTTTATTCTCACGAAATCTGTGTTGGTACGTTGGATATGCTGTAAGACCGTGTAACTGTTGCTGTGATGTGATTTCTTTAAGCTGTTGTTGTCATCGTCATCATCATTGAACAATTGGACATAGGAATTATAGAACCTTGAATTGTTTGTTGTTGTTTTGTTTTTAAAAATGTAAAATGCCTAAACCTAATGCGTTTTCAAAGAAATGCTTTTTTGAAAAGTTGCTTCTCTTGGGCCTTATCATATCTTTAAACATTAATAAATGTGCATATTATACTTATCGTCCCTGGGTTTTTTTTCTTTTCCCAAGCCACTACCATCATCATCATCATTATAATCGTCATCACCATCATCATCATCATTGTAGGAAGTAACAGACAGACAGACATACAGACAGACAGACAGACAGATAGACAGACATACACACAGGCACACACACACGCGCGCGTGCACGCACACACACACACACACACACACACACACACACACACACCTGTCTCACACAGCTCCCCTGTAAAGTCATCTGGACATTGACACCGGAAACCCCGGGGCAAATCCACACAGGTTCCGCCATTGTTGCAGGAGTGGATAGTGCATGCGTTGAAAATGTCTGGCGATGGAGCATTCATTGAGAGAGAAATAAATAATGGAAATGTAAGTATGGTGATAATAATAGACTACTACTACTACTACTACTACTACTACTACTACTACTACTACTACTACTACTACTACTACTACTACTACTACTACTACTACTACTACTAC